CGTTGCAGTTATGACTAGCTGCTTCGAGCCATACCAGCCCCGCAACCTGACAGGAGGTCAAGTGTCCAAAAGCTGAGTTTCGGAAATTCTGTCCCGTGACTCTGGCTTCCGTTGTGGATCTTAGATCAGTCGGAGGGGCGTTGACCAGCCGCAGCATTGTTACGATTTCTCACCAAGCACGCAGCAGTTTTCAGCCCCTTTTTAAGCAGAATCCACAGTTTGAGTTTTGATGTTGCATTTCGTCTTTGCAGAAACTCAGGTTGCAAACGTTTACCGAAGCCTCATGGCCAAGATCTCGCCCGAAACACTGCCGAAGACGCTGGTGGGCTTGAATGTTCTCGTGTTGCATGACCTCGACTCAGCTGTGATGAGAGTGAGAAGCACAACAAACAGCTGGGTTTTGGGCTGCCTCTAGCTGTTTCCATGTATCGCGGGTTGCCAGAGGTTCTGCTAGTTTTCGGCACCGGAGGGAACAGAGAGAGCGACACGGAGTGATTCGGTGACTCTCGGTTCACACTGCCGATCTCCGCTGTCTGCCGGAATCCGTGCTCCTCTGAGAGCTTAAAGGGCTACTAGTAGAGCTCAGTTTGGATTGAGACCTTGCTCACATTGGTGTGCAAGCGCGAGGCCGTACCAGAAACTGGAGACTTGATGCCAGACAAGTCGCAGCTGTCTTGATCTCCCTTTAAGTCGGACTCCAGCGATTCTGATCCCGCTCCTGTGCCACCGTTTTGTGTTGGTTAGTGTAGTAGAAGCAGTAACATGATGAGAAGATTAATCTTTTCGGAATACTCTCGGTGCCAGTTCCGATTGAGCAAGACTTGAGTTTGCATCCGGGAAGTGTGCTTCAATCTTTTGAAACTCTGGGAGACCACGTGAGGCGCTTTCGAACGGGTTCTGGCTTTTTCAACGATGTTCGTCAACTTGAATCACAGCTTCTGCAGAAGCGAGCCTGCAGAAGCCTTCCGGCCTTCCATCACAACAGAGCAGTTAACAGTCTGCCGGTAACAAAGCTCGCGGCAAAGCTCCTTCGAAGTCGATTGAGCCGCTTCAAAAAGGCCGCATGCCAAGCTTTAAGGCTCGACAACAACGCAGGAGTCGGGGTGGAGATGAAAAGCAGTGGTATACGTGAGAAAGTGAGAGTCATCCAGCTGCCACGTCGTGCGCGGGGGATTTCGTTAAGGACAGAAACGAGCGGAAGCGGGTCTCCAAGGATGAGATGACCCCACCCGAGACGCACAGCTCGGAGTTTGGGAGGGAGGACGACATCCTCCTTGAAGCGCTTCGATACATGCGCATGTCCTCGGCTGCATATGGCCGCGTGACGCTGCGCCCAGGGCCCGGAGTTGCTGTCACCGAGCAGAACTTCGTCCAACTACTGTGCAAACACACTGGTGCAAGCCTCAATCCCGAGAAGGCCGCATGACACGTTGGGGTGGTACTCGTAAGCGGCAAGATGCAAGGAACATGTTAAGATCCGTGTCACTGGCCGTGGGATGTCATGAGTTGCAGCCACAGGTGTCCGTGCCTCATGCATCGATGCGGGCTGGCTGGCTACTCCCAGCTCACTACGTGCTTCTCGATCGCGAGCGCCGCGAGGCTGTTGTCACCGTGCGAGGCACACGGGAAGGTTTTAGGTTTCCGGTTTCAGCCTGCAAGTCTTTGCACCTGCGCTTGCGCCCAGAGGTACGCTGAGTGTGCCAGATGTGCTCACGGACCTGGGAGCCGAGGAGGTGGACCTTTTCCTGGGGGGCAAGGCCGCGGGGTTGCCTTGCAGCTTGCAGCCTTGCTCTGCGACTTTCTGTTCCTTTTGTCCCTGAGGCTCACAAGAACATGCTGCAGAGTGCCTGCAACGTTCTTCGGGTCATTGGGCCAGTCCTGCGCGACCTTTCTGGCGAAGTGGACACAGTCACTTTCGCGGGGCACAGCTTGGGTGGTGGAGTGGCTGCATACATGACAATGCTCTTTCTGGAAATTGTAGAAGGGCATACCTTGCCTGTGACAGTCCTTCCTGCCGACTTCGAGTGCCAAGCCAACACTTGCGACACACAGAAGAAGTACAGCTGCCGGCTGAGAGTGCGCTGCTTCAGCTTCGGAGCTCCAGGGATTTGCTCGGCAGCTGTCAGCAAGTCTTTGCGGGACCGCGTGGCCTCCTTCTGTCATGCCGAAGACGTCGTCCCGCGATTATCGACCGGCCATCTTCTGGAGCTTCACGGCCGTGCCGTGCTCGCGGCCTCCGGCGCCGGGGACCTTGTGAAGCGTTTGTTGGAAAGAGCCCAGGCTGGCCGCGACTCTGGAGGGCTTCTGAAGGCAGCACAGGCAGCTGCAGAGGCCATCCCACAAGGATTCGAAAAGGCCTTACAGATGAGTACAGCGGAGGCAATGGGAAGCACCTGTAGCAAGTCCATGGAGTCCATAGACATGCTGAAGCTCTACCCTGCTGGTCGTTGTTTTTTACTTCAGACTGATGGTGAAGTCGAAGAACTCGAGCCGGAGGCATTGGCACCTCGCATTGATTTGTCCGGTGGTCACCGGATGGTCATCGATCACATGCCCAGAGTCTACGAAGCTGTGATGAAAGCGGCAGTAGACAAAGCACGCAACCCTGATGTGGCTGCAACTTCGCGCCTGTAGCGACCAAAAGTTCTCGACCTTGTTTAGCTTGCATTTGCAACCGTCACGGTATCGTGCCTCTGAACATGTTGCACCCCCTAAACCTTTGGCCCAGAGTCCCGCTCTCCCAGATCTCCGAATCCCTAGAGTCTGACCCCCCACCAAGCCCAAAACCCTGAACCCAAAACCCAGAGCCCAGAACCGCAACCCTGAACCCAAAGCTCTGAAGCCTAAACCGCTTTCGACAAGGTCTAGATCGTTTCTACCTCGGCTTTCCTATCAGTGGGCTGATAAAGTGTGGCTCCCAGTTGCGGATGCGCACTGCTGTTTTCTACGACTTCCTCGGAGCTCAGGTTGGTGACGCTCGGAGGACTGGGCACATGGTTTGGGACCTACCACGTATTCCTGGAGTGCATCCCTGCAGTCCACGATATCATACAAGGGACAGCAGGTTTCGTGCGAGCTAAAGCAAAAGGCCAAGCAGCGTTTTGGTCTGGAAGCACATTCTGGCCGTGACAAAGCCACAGATGACAACCCAGACTAGTTTACACGTTCAATTGCATTTAATTTGCAGGCGAAGCCGGAGACCACACCAACGTCCAAACTTTACACTCGAAGGTGATTCAGAGAAGCCAACTCATCCAGTTGGAGACATGGCATTATTCTACAAGCTTGCGTTCCCAGAACGCAGCTTTCTGTTGCTGGGTTGGGCCCTGTGAAAGTTTCCACAAAACGGTTTCGACGCTAATGTAGGTAGATCCAAACCCAGGGTGGTCTGCAGTCAGTTATGCAGCCAAAACATTGAGGTGGCTCTACGACGTTGTTCGCATCGGGAGCGCCCCGGTGTACGCGAAGGATTTCCGAGTGAGCAATGCCTGCGACCCAGAGGGTTGTGCTGACTTGGTTTGAGAGCTTAGTCTCAGTCAGAAAAGAATTGGATCTCAGCGAAGGGGAAGTCAAAACGTGATTCACTGCAAACATGTCTCGGTCAGGACTTGGCCCACTGGGTCTTTGTGCTCATCGTCGTCCTTCTTTTCACAGGTCTTGGCATCGTCTATTCCTTGTACTCGTAGCAACCTCAGGTTTCGCTCCACTGCCATATATTGTGGAGAGACAGAAAGAAGCAAGGAGAGCCGTGAGCCGTTTTTTGTTGCTCTGAGCTCTGAGGTATGGCGGCTACCGGAAGCTGAAAAGAGCCGAGGCAGAGAAGACGCTTGGCACCATCGGGGAGGGTCAGCGGTCAGCGACGCGCGCACGAAAGGGCAACGCAGCCTGGATCTGGGTTTCGGTAGAGGAGAAAGCCAGAAGTAGCTGCTTTCTCGCCGGGACAAGCTCGATAGCATCACCATGTTGGTGTCAATCGCATAGCACATGCGCGTGCAAGGAGGTCCATCTAGCCAGACCAAAAAGCGGGCCCAAACCCAGTAGTTGCCAGAGTATTATAGGCGAGACACACTGTGAAAATGAAGCCGTCCTACACAAGACCCGGGATGGACGAGGGCAGGTCATCAAGGATGTCTCTGCATCGAGAAGTGGTTGCCCTCCAAACTCGCTGCTACTCTGACGCATAGACAAAGAAGCCTACGTGTCACCATAGCGAAGAAGCCAGATCTGCTGTCATGCCTGATGCGTCTCGCTGTCCATGATGCCCCACGTCGTTTAATCTACCACGGTGCACGTGTGCATGCACTGCACCACAGGAATTCGAAGGACTGCGTCCTACTGAAACAGGTGCAGCGGGTACGCCTGTAGGAGACCAGAATCGAGCCACAACAAGACATCGGGATTGGGCAGGTCATGCTGCTGCCTGAACAAGCGGGCTGGTGACTGCGGAGGGGGGCGGGGCAGGGATGTTACCCTTCGAGACGCCCCAATCAAAACCGACCACTAGGCCGGACGTTTACCTAGAGCGGGAGCACGGAAGAACGCAGTTAAACACAAAGTCAGAGTGCACTTAGGACTCATGGTCGGTGGCTTATGGCGCAGAGTGTGGCAGAAATGTAACGAATCCGCGAAGACCTCCACGAAGGTGATCTTGACGTCTCCATGGACAGATCAGAAGGTATGCAGGGTGCAAGGCCGCCGTATCCTGTAGGCCGTAGGACCCGTGGGATGCCGTAGGCTGTGAAGCCTCGAGTCACGGTCACGGCAGGCTCAGACCCACCGCTTTCGGTGAGAGACTCAGAAGTGGCTTGCGCTAGGCTAGGTCTTCCTTGCACCTTTGTGACCTGATAGCTGACTCCTTCGTCACAGGTGGCTACTCGGGCTATGGCTCCACGATTTCATAGAGATCGTGTGTTTCACGTGAGCGCACATATTGAGCAAGAGGAAAAATAAATGAATGAGTGTGTTTCTCCTCCTTCCTTGTGCGCATTGGCAGACGACAGGACGCCGGACCCAAGGGAGGAAGCAAAGGCGATGCTAAGGGCAAAGGAAAGGACACGAAGGGCAAGGCGGGCAAGGCACGGTGTTGTCTTCTGAGTCTCCTCTGATTGCATTGAAGATGCGCAGGCCGCAAAGGGCGAGGGCAAGGTGGGAAACGGTGCAGAAGCATGCCACAGATGTAGAGCCAGGAATGCACGCCTTGGTTGAGCTCGTGTCGCTTGAACTGGCATCCATGCCATGTGCAGGCTGGCAAAGGAGAGAAGGGCTCCAAGCCGTGGGCTCAAAAACCTCACGGGATCGTTTCTCATGCCTCTGCAGCCGAACTCCTGAATCGCGATCGGCGGCCTCGCGTTAATGGGAGATCCCAGTCATGGGTCGCGACGGGTGACCAAGGGGGTTTCAGGGAATGTGTGAGCATCCTGGCAGGGGTAAGGGCGGCGGTGGCAGCAAGGGCGGCAATCGACGCCACTCGGTGCATTCAGATGGTGGTGCGGCTGATCTCGGGAATTTAGGGTTTAGTTTCGCTTTTAGTTCATAGATCTGAGAGCCTGGAACTTGCAGAGGCGACGGCGCCGCCATCGGAGAGCTGCTCCCCGAGGCCAACGAGGAGGCCCCAACTCCTCACTCTCGCAGCGTGCCATCTCATGATGTGTGGTGCAACCTCGGAGCCTTGCACCCTTGCCTTGTGGTCCTGGTAGCTGCACTCCAGGTTAAGAAGGAGTTCGAGAAGGAGTTTGATGTCACGGCCGCGAACTCCAAGCCACTGGTTTGCACTAGCAGTCTCATAAGCCTACATCGCTTTGCAAATGCATAGCGAAATGCATAGCGAATCTTGTTCCTTCTTGGAGCACCAACTTTCCAGGTTGCTAGAATCGCCAAACCCGAGGTTCGACAAGGCCGCCGTAGCCAAAGAAGGCGAAGAAGGCCCACGCCCCTCGGGCCTCTCAAGAAATGATCAGAATCAAGAAGCTCAGCTCTCGAAAAGCGCAGGCGATTCTCTGAAGCCACTGCCCGGCTACGACAAGACCAAGTCCTTCTTCGACTCCATCTCTTGCGAGGCGGAGAGAATCGCCGTGGGTCGGGAGGTCGCGTAGGTGTTTTGGCTCCACTGGCAGGCCACGGAGCGTTCCGGAGCTGCAGACCGGCCCAAGGCAGGTCGTTGCCGGGAGCCCTCGATGTGGGCCGAGCAGGGCGTCCGCATCTTTGAGGAGGGAGAGCAGCTGCATCCGTTTACAGATGCCATGTTCTGCTCGAGAAGACGTTACGATGCACAGCATTATTAACTCCACACTGCAACCATCTATCTGACGTAAGCTTCAGGGACACCTTTTGCAATTGACGCCTTTACACCAGAACGTACCAGAACCCTCCAAATCCCAGCCGTGTTGGTCAGCAGCTCAAAGGGAACTTGGAGCAGCAGAAGTCTGTAGCCCCTGATTCATCAACAAAACCCAGGTTTGGATGGCAGACGGCTACGCAGGAACCAAGCCTGCAGAGGTGCGGTGCGGAAGTGAAGCCAATGAAGCATGCCTTGCTCTCCAGCAGCTAGCAGGACCACAGATTCAGATGTCAGCTGCAGTGTCCTCTGCTGGCACGGAATGGCATTCTTTCCCAGAGCCTCTCTCGCTCAAACCTTGCAGAAACGGTTAGTCGGAGCGATGGAGAATCGGCCGCCAGACTCGGTGGCGGTAAATGGCCGCGAAGTCAACCTTCAGAACCTGAGCAGCCTGCAGTGCCTTGGCGACAGAGCAGTGCCAAGCAGAGTCTCAGCTTGATGCCCCCTTCTAAGGAAGTTCCCTCAAAAGCGCAGGCTCGAGCGATTTCTGCACAGAGAGCGTGAAGCCGGACCGACTACGCCTAATTCTGAGGGACAACCCACTGTTGAATCGCGCCCCGACTCAGGGAGAACAAGATGCAAGCTTCTGGGCAGCATTAGCATCACGACTGCAGCAAAGTGTGGCGGTGCCTGAGACATAGTTTGGCAAGGAGATCCAGGTTGGTGCACATCTGCTGAACTCGGTTCATGTCTTCCCGTCTCGCCGTTGCCTGTCTGCTTCTTTACTTTAGTGAAGTTTCGACACTCGTTTGAGTCGCAGCAATACTCTCAACGATCCAGTCCCAACTGCCCAAGGCTCTTGCAAAGATGTGGCCTGGGCTGTTCTTTTCTTGGCCGTGGTTGCTGCCACCGCCCTATTCGCTGCATTCTACTTCAAGGATGCACTGCATCAGTTTGAACCAGTGGATCAGACTGGTTGAATTTGGAATGTGATTCTGTAACTTTGCCAGGAAATTGACACCAGCCTCAACGAAGACTCGACATTCCGAGTGCCCTGGCAGTGTGTAGTGATGGGAGCAGATTGCAAAGCAACGATTCTGTTGGGCATAGATTGCCAGCCGCTGCCCTGTCAGGACCACAAAACCCGAAACCACTTGAAAGTCGAGGACTTGGCCGAGCATGTGGGAAGGCTAGTCCTGGCAGGCGCGGGGAAGTAACTGCTGTTGTTGAGGGGAGGGTAAGCCGAACGTGCAGGGGTTGCTCCGAAAAACAAGAAGTCCGAAACGTGCATCATGGAGCACTAATTCTTCAGGGATGATGAACAAAAGAAATTCACTGCTTCGGCCTCGACCGAGGGTTCTTGAGTTTCCTATGTCTCCAGGTGTGTGCCAGAGGAATCAGCTTAGGAGGTTGGAGATTGGTTCTCCTTCGATTCATGTTTCGGATTGAAAACTATGTTCTGGGCCTTGCCATTTTGGGGCGAGGGCATCGGGATTTAGCTGTCCAAGAACGATTGTCTTGTGAGGCGTTGCCGGTACGGTCGGCTCTTTAGTCGCCGCATTCTTCTTCATGATGCTGGCCAAAGCATGTGCCAAACCATTAGTGTGTGAGCCCCGATTCGTCAAGGGATCAAGAAATGCAGCCTCCAGTTGCACGTATCCATATAGGTATGTGTCGCTCTTCCTTATCCCGACGATCTATATCATCGCTGGGCTTGGTCTCATGGTCGGATCGAGGTGCAGAGACAGCATTTCACCATTTTGATTGTTTACACTCTCTTCGCCATGTTGCTGCATATGTCACAGCTTGGTCTGGTTGCCAGGTTTACGGAAGATGGCACAGGCCTGCTGCTGGCAGGCGCAGACACAAGGGCACATGGTCCGCTTTGTCTTGGCATGGTCGAAGCATTGTTGATGGTTCGACAGAACTTTCATCATTTTGAGTAAATGTCAAATGCAATTGAGTCGCTTGGGATCATTCTGGACACGCTCGCATTGCTGACGATGTGCGCGCTAGACACAACGGATTGACTCGCATTGCCTCAGCTTTACTTGGCCAGTCCCAGCGCTGATGCACAACTGAGCGTGGATTGTACAGCACTCGGACTGTGCCGCGACATTTAGTGAGAGTTCTACGCAGCGTGAGCCTTTTGCGTGGGTCGTGTGGGTGAGCCCGGATCAGTCGTGCCTCACACCCTCCTTAAACTGCACGCGTGTGACACCAACCCTGTTCGACGGTCCCTTTGCACGGGCCCCGCCTCCCGGGCCTCCTGGGCTCAGCCACAGCGGCTTGGAATGGCACAGGGCACAGGACACTTCACAGGACTCCACTCGACCATCTTACTGGAGAACTTTTGGAAGGGATAGTTATAGCATAGTTGTACCTTCGGCAGTTTTTGTTTGAGCCACGCTTCAGGCGGCTTGATGCTGCTTATTGGTGCTTGCTATGCCAGCTGTGTTTGCTGCTGGCGCGATCGCATTCCCTTCACTGTGGAAGTCCTGGAGATGGCGGCTTGGCTGTGAGACGTTGGAGTTGCTCGGAGTCCTGGCATCTGCCTCTCTCAGGTAGCAGAGGTTTCCAACGACAACCCATGCAGGATTCCTAGTTGTGCCGAGTCAATCCAGGCCAAGTGAGGTCGCGTCGCTGTTTCGGTGACGGCGCCTAGGTATGGTGGCAGTTTCCGTTCTGGGTTCGATTCTGTCTGGCCTCTGGATCGTACTGGTCTCGAGTTGCTGGGTGGGTGTCGAAGTCAAGTTGCGATCCGACGCCCCAGACCAGCACTTGAGCCTTGGACAGCAACTATCCAAAGTTTAAAGCCTACATCGTGGACACTGATTGAGTGTTCACCTGCACAGATGCATTCACTGTGCATGGCTCTGGGAGAAGATTGTGCAGTCATCTGGGTTCAGGAAAGCCAATACACCTATGACTTGGGCTGCCTCACTCAAAAATGTCAAGCAAATCTCGCAAAAGTTCACCATGCTGAATCAGCTGTTCTCATCATGAGCCGAGATTTTCGTGCTGCTCATCGTCTGGGGTGGGCAAGTCGTACAAAATACTTGCCACACCAGCTACTGCGGGGTATTCGGGCGATGGTACTTTGGCAAAGAAGGCCAGGGTGCCACCGGTGCAGACTCTCTTTCGCCGATGGGTGTAGGAGTTGCGTTGGCCTGCTCAGAAGCTTGAGATCAACAAGCGATTCAAAAGGCTGGCCGCTCACCAGCAGCATCCGAGTGGCTTTGACTACTTCCTTTGGTATCTGGGCATTAGTTTGGAAAGCCTCGGTTGATAGTGACGAGTACAGGCAAGTTCAGCGAGACTCAGGTGTGTGTGTGTGTGTCACAAGTTCGGCAGTTTCTGAGTTGTCCTGGCAGAGGCAGTATCTGCTTGGGATCCTTGACCGTTGCTGTTGTCCGCACGCTTGAATTCGCAGCCGGAAGCCCAAAGCAAGTTTTGTTTGCAGTGTGTGTAGGAAGTCGATCCTCCATGCCGACAAATTGGTAAGGTTCGGCAGGCGAGAAACGAGGCAATGCAAGAAGGCGCCATCTCGCTGTTCGGCTACATGAAGATGCTCACAGTCATAGTGATGTACCTGAACTGGCCTCGGCAGGCAATATGGTCGCATGCGTTGTCCTCTGCGTGCTGGACTGCGTCATCTCATGTATAGGACTGACTGGCGATATGTGCGACACACACACACACACAGACATTCGCAAGCTTGAAACTCCGACATCCCAGACCAGTGGTGATCCACTAGTGGTCTGAGTCAGAGAATCAAAACTCAACATGCTCCGGTAGGTTGGTTCACCTGACGTGAAACGAAGCATGATTCACCGATGAGATCATTAAGATCAACCCGCACACGGCTCGTTGGAGTACGACGATCACACAAGCTGAACAGAAAGGACGCTGTGGGAACCTATCGGTTGCATGGTTTCCGGAAGTCCCACAGCTCTCTTCCGTAGTATGGTCAGCAAGGCTTGAATTGCTACTTTAATTGTTGGGTTGCATGTAACCTTGGGTCCAGGGTTCGACAAACGACAGTCCGATCTGTGCGCGCATTCATCTGTAGAGCTGGCAAAATATTCAAACAGTGATATTGTAATGTTGGCAGGCCCTGCGGGCATCGGAACCATGATGGCTCTTCAGGGCTTTCTGGTCAATCTTGGTTCTTGGTTCCTGGGGCCCAAAATATTCAACTAATTCATATTTTCAACATGTGGGAGGCCTAGATCCAGGGCCCAGCGGCTGCCAGTAGTTTGCCAGCAAAATGTGACATGCACTCTGCGCGCGACTGCATACTCATCCAGCTGTCCGCAACTGTGAAAACATCAAGGTACATGGCTTCCGTTCGTGCATTTACATGCCCGTTTGTCTTTCTGTTGGTTACACCTAGCTTTCTATCTGAAACATGAACCGTCTATTCCATGTGCCTTGGTATGCATAAGCTGCTAAAACGCAGGGGCCAGGTTCACCCCTGGAACCATAAGGATTATGTGTATGTGTGTCGGTGTCGTCATGAGTTCCGTTAATTTACCTATTAGCACGTCCTGTCTCGTGTAGTGATAACTGTAATGAGAATTTCTTCCAACACTCGTATTTCTGTCTACTCTATTGAGTTACATGACTAGTTCTATTGGATTACTCACGCCGCCACCGGCTCCTGCTACTGGTATAAGAGATTAACGTTCTTTTTCGGCCAATTGTTAGCATCTGTTTCAGTTCTTGATACAGAGCTGAGGTTTGCCTTTGCTGTTGCGGCATAATCGTTTGGCTAATGAGGAAAAGAGAGGATATGTGGCGAATGCTGTCTTGTCAATTCAGCTATTTGCATCTGTTTCTGTTGTAGTGTAGCAAGCATCATTCAATTTGGTG